TGATTTGAATAATCTATTGAAGATCCTTTACTCAATAGAGGACTTATAACCAACAGATTTTCGCCCGTTCACTAATGAAATGGAGGTTCAGACCCGTCAAGCTATTATTTTGAGACCTGTCAAAATGAGAGTTAATGTAAGTTAGTTGTAAGCATTAGATTACTGAAGTCACAGTGATTCCCCGCCTTTCATTAAAGTTTGTATTCACTCTGATCCTTTGAGCAGAGGGCAGAGCCCACGTTAAATACTATCAACTGCAACTGGATGCAAATATACCATATATGTAACTTCTCTTTCAAAAGGTGCCATATGAATAAAGTTTGCTTGCTTGCAGTTTAGAATGGCCGGTCCCCCCCGCTGCAGTCCTTGTTGCTGATAACTCCCACTGTTGTCCCGAGATGAGTTCAGATGGAACGAGACAGACCAACCATGTGCAGCAACAGAGACATGATGTGGCCAAACCCGAAGCACCGCTGCAGAGGATTGAATCCAGAACCCTCAAATGATCAGAAACTCCCTCGTACCTTCAGTATAAATCAAGAATATGCATCTGTTCGCATCAGGACATCATTGCTGCTCATTATTTGGCCCATGAGTAGTGCAAAAACACACTCATCCTGAAAGGTGTTTTTCCTCAGGGAGCGATGCGAGATGTTCATTGTGTGAGAGGTTACAGGGAGGCCAAAACAAACCACGTGTCAGAATCACATAATGCTTATTGTTCAACGAAATATGTGTCTTAAATTGCATGGCATCGATAAGGTCGTTACAGCAGTAAGATATCAGTTACTTCCTGACTCTCAAAGGCCCCGCGAGCAGGAAGCGTGTGGTACCAGCGCCGTAGGCAGATCGTAGCAAGATATGTTTGTTAGCGTGTTAGCATTCTGATTAACCGCCAGTTGGTTCCCTGCTTCGGCGGTCTAATCTGGCCTCACGCCTCACTGCACCTGCTCAATAGAGTCCGCACCCTGCATCATGACATCATGTCTTTATGTGAAATCCCGGTGCCATTCACGGGCCCACCGTAGGGCTTAGCATGCAAGCGTCCACTATGCCAACACACAGCTCTTTAAAGGGAGTCCCCTGCTCCCCCAGCTCAGTGGATACACCCTGATGCCTCCACAGAGCTTTGAACATGGCTTCTATCCTCCGACCCATCGGGCTGAGCCCATGTGCCATCCAGGGCCCATGAGGAGAGCGAGTATTTGGGCTTTTTGTTGAGGACATTTTTATATGAGAAGATATCACTGCTCCTGGATATATGGAGACTAGTTCTAGCTATCCAGTCAGCTAACATACACACTGATGTCCCTGGATGTCATTCAGAGGGAAACTGTAACAAACAATTTGGGCACATTTAACAACATAGTGCCTCACACTTGCTCTAAGATTACATCATCCATTTGTGAAAAGCTGCGGGATCAGTGAAGCTCAGTGTGGAGGCCAAATCTGCCACTAACCAACAGATCAGAGAGCAGACATCAAGAGGTGGACTTTCCAGTTCACCAGCCCAGTGATGTCACCTAGGACAGGGAACGCTATTGGTTGAGAGACAGCGAGGGTTGGCTGTAATAAGATGGGCAGAGTGGAGATATGTCCATATAAGGAGTGATGACCTCTATTGATTAATGATTGTTGATTTTGACCATTGATACATGTGGCCTGTAGGAGGTCACCTCCATTGTCCATATGAAGAATTGATTAAAATATGTTGAATAATTAAAAGATGCTGTATTTCTTTCATTACCCTTTTCATTTATAATTTGAAAAATGTCACTATTTTGTCCAGATGGACTAAAAAAAATTCTGAACAAAACAGAATATTTAGTTTAATTTTTAAATTTCTAATAAAAGGTCAAATATAAACATGTTGAATTTATGTATTATATATGCGTTTTTGATAGTTCCACCCGAGAAATATCCGCATTGAAGGAAAATCAGACTTCAAAGAAAACCGCATTGTTCAAACTTCATCGGGTCCTGGGAATATGAAACAATCGTGGAACCTGGAAATTAAATTGTGCAAAGGGAAATGAGTTGTGTGACCGTAAACAAACTGTTTCAGACTGCCTCGTAATTGTTTTGTTCCTTCCTTTAAATTTGATGCATCAGCGGTTTCCCGGGAGAAGTTTTTCAACAATTTGGATAAGGGGCTAACAAAAGCTTTCTTCAAATAAACTTAACCAAACGTGTGAAATGATGATGAAAGTATTAAATATTGGCATAAAGAAATCACATCATTGTGAGGTTCTGCATTTCAACACGGTGGGTCGTATTCCAATGTATGTAATAGCGTCCTGTTCCCTATGTGCAGATAGGCTGATAGTTTAATATAAAAACATATGGACATGGGAAAATGTTTGTTTAACATTAATAAAGCCACATTTTTAAAACCATCAAAAAAATTAGCTTAAAAATGTGGCCGAGCAGAAATTTTCCCAGTTTAACAAACAAACCACAACAAATATGATATTTAGCAATGATTTGTTTTCAATGAGGCCGATGAATGGGCATGCACTTGAGCTCGATTTTGTATTAACTCTCTGTCACCAGAGTTGTTTCTTGCAGTTAGTTAGTATGGGACTGAATTTTTATAGACAGGTATGAGAACAAACACAACTTACAAAAAACAAAATAGAATTAATTAAAGCAATCATTAACACAACTTAATAAAAAAGATGAATATTAGAATTGTTTTAATAAATAATACATATTTTGTTTGAATTAATACTTGATTTTATTATGATGAATATGATAAAAAAACAAAACAGTTACATCCTATAAGAATAACATTGCCATGCGTGTGTGTGTTTAAGTAATATATTTAAATCAGGTTAAAGATGCCATCATGAAGCTGACGTGAATCAAATACTGAGTCAGAATCCAAGAAGACAAGTTTGTCATCGTTCATTTTGTCCCAAACATTTTCACTTGTAGTGAGGATATTAGTTGCAATTGTGCAAACCTGGAGATAGTTTCAGAATTCCAGGTATTTAAAGAGTCCTCTTTAGGCTCTGTGGTAGCTTTTCCTCTGTTCAAACATCTGTGGAGGGATTCAGAGATCAAAGACTGCTGCTGAATGTTTTTCTACTCTGAGCCGGGAAAGTTTGACTAACCTGCATAATAGAGACATTTCAGCGTGCGCTTTCGCTCAATGGTTCGCATTCTTCACATTCCAGCGCGTCCAAGTGACAAAGATATGATGATACACAAACACACAATCCAGATGCAACAACTGAACTGTTTAAATGAGAAGTACATGTGTTTTGTACCAGTGAAAGATCACAATAAAGAAATAAAAAAACACTCACAAATAAAATGTGTAAATGTGATTTTCAGAAAAAGAAGAAAAAAAGGAAGCATTTCAAACAAAATTTTGGCCCCGAATCACATGTTGTATCTCATTTTTAGCTGCACAGTTAAGAAGTGGTATTCTTCCTTTGATTCAAAAATATTAACAAGGAATTATGTGAGTTTTCTAGTGAAAAGATAAAAAAAATTGGCATTGTTTAATTTTAATTAACTAACTAACTTTGTCTGAAAAGCCTGGAAAAGAAGGGAAGACAGACTATTTCATGAGTATTACTCTGATTTCTGCAGTGTTATTACAGCAGATGTTTTTGTCAGTGGTCTATGAGTTATGTTGGCGATATAAACAGAAATGTGATTGAAAATGATTCAAATAGTTTTTATTTTACATCATTGGTAATATTGTGGTGTATATGACATTCTGAATCTGTCTTATAGGAATTTCTGAAAACTAAAATTTCTAATTTCTATAACCGATGCCGAATGGGAAAATTTTATCAATTAAATTAATTGTAAAAAAAATGACCACCCCCTCCTGTAAAACAAAATCAGAAAATAATTGTAAAGGATCAACGTAAGAGCATTTATCTTATTGAAACCCAAAGTTGACATTAACCTGCTGCTGCCTGTATTGAATAGCTGCATAAACAACAATGTCCATCGTTAATGCAGGAGGACATAAACTCTCCTTCATCTCTCTGCTCTAATGTTGGGCATGGCAGTGCTGCTGGAGGCACATCAGCTGCTGTTATTGTTTCATCTACTGTATCTGTGCTTCTACGTACATATATGTGTGAGGACATTGCATGCATGGAGCTGGCGTGCTCTGCTGTGGACTCGGTGCCCCGGCTGCACAGTGTCCATGTTGGTGTGGGAGCCTGAGGCCTGCTCCCATACATCCCCGCTCTGGCTCTGTTGATCCTATTGTCTCCTGCGTCACCACACGTCGCCCGGCAAATAAAGGCCGTCTGGCTCCAAGCTTAAATATTGCAGCAAACTAAAAACCAACCATCAGAGCCGATTCATTCACATCTGCTCAGTGGGGCGACAAGGACGGGGCTTTAGGTGGGAAAGAGGGCAGAAAAAAGTTCACTTTTCCCTGCCGGGTGCCAAGAGAACGGGACAGGACTCAACTTCGCGGGAGCCGCAGCTGTGGCAAGTTGCCCATTTGATTACATTTAACCTATATCATATTTTACAGAAGAAGGGACTATTTGTTACTTATTGATCTCTCTTTATTATATTTTAATTGGGAATTTTTTTATCACATTTTTTTGAAGAGCAAGAGCAAGATATCTTTTGGTTTGCACCACTCTTAATGTTCGACATAGTTAATTTTGTTAACATCGAGAACAAGCAGCCATCTAACCGAAAATACCTTGCTAAACAATTTATATTTAATATATTGATCTAACATGTTTTATCTAATTTCATTGGGAATAAAATGGACTCCAAAACTACTCTTTAGAAGTTTTAAATTCTTTACGTTTTCTAATATAATCGCGTGTGGTGGCATGAAATTATGGCTTGGATTTATTTTTTGACACGTTTGATTTTCCTCCATTTCTTACTTTTGACCGTCTCTAATCTCCTCCCCCTGTCTGTCCTGCATACCCCACCCTCCCTGTCTGTTCGCACCCTCTGTGTCTCTTCCTACCCCACCCTTCATTCTGCAGTGCTACGGACCGATCATGGGTGACTGGAGCTTTCTGGGTAATATTTTAGAGGAAGTTAACGAGCACTCTACGGTGATCGGCCGGGTGTGGCTCACGGTGCTCTTCATCTTCCGTATCCTCATCCTGGGCACGGCGGCGGAGTTTGTGTGGGGCGATGAGCAGTCTGACTATGTCTGCAACACACAGCAGCCGGGGTGTGAAAACGTGTGCTACGATGAGGCCTTCCCCATCTCCCACATCCGTCTGTGGGTGCTGCAGATCATCTTTGTGTCCACACCGTCTCTGGTGTACGTGGGTCACGCTGTGCACCATGTGCACATGGAGGAGAAACGCAAGGAGCGCGAGGAGGCAGAACTCAGCCGGCAGCAGGAGCTGAGTGAGGAGCGTCTCCCCCTGGCACCCGACCAGGGAAGTGTCCGCACCACTAAGGAGACCAGCACAAAGGGGAGCAAGAAGTTCAGGCTGGAGGGTACCCTGCTGAGGACCTACATCTGTCACATCATCTTCAAAACACTGTTTGAGGTGGGCTTCGTGGTGGGACAGTACTTCCTGTATGGCTTCCGCATCCTGCCGCTGTACAAATGCAGCCGCTGGCCCTGCCCCAACACGGTGGACTGTTTTGTGTCTCGCCCCACGGAGAAGACCGTCTTCATCATCTTTATGTTGGCTGTGGCCTGCGTCTCACTCTTCCTCAACTTTGTGGAGATCAGTCACCTGGGCCTGAAGAAGATTCGCTTTGTCTTTCGTAAGCCGGCCCCTGCCCCAGCTCAAGGTGAGGGCTTGGCCTCCCTGCCACCACAAGGAAAGAACCTGCCCACACTGGCTATGCCCTCCCTTCAAAGAGCGAAAGGTTACAAGCTGCTGGAGGAGGAGAAAGCTCCCATAACCCAGCTCTACCCGCTTACTGAAGTGGGCATGGAGGCTGGCAGAGGGGCTCCACCCTTCCCGGGGCTGGAAGAGAAGGTGGAGGAGGTGCTGCCTATGGGGGACATCTCTAAGGTGTATGACGAGACTCTGCCCTCCTACGCCCAGACCACTGAGACAGCGGGGGTAACGTTACATGAGGAGGCCGAGGAGGTGCAGCCGGCAGAGGTGGAAGCAGAGAAAGCGGAGAAGGTTGTGGATGAGGATCTGGAGGTAGAGGAGGCGGTGAACGGGGAGGGGGTTACTCCAGCAGAGGCAAGGATGGAGGCCACGGATACGATAGAAGACACCAGACCGCTGAGCCGACTGAGCAAAGCCAGCAGCAGGGCCAGGTCAGACGATCTCAACATATGACCCTGTGAGAGAGAGAGAGCACATGTACACCTGCACACAGCAGATGTTCAACACAAGAGAGAGCACACACACACACACACACACACACACACCTAACTCAAGACAACGCACACTCTCGAACAGGCAGGTTAAAAAACAATGGATGAAAAACAAAATCAACAGGGATAGATTCAAATCTTTAGGACACAGGCTACAATTTTACAAAGAGGCAAAAATCTGCGTGTTTGTGATCAAATGAAATATAAAGTAGAGGTTAAAGAGGGGAGGAGTAGGTTTTTTTATTAAGCGTGTTCTTATATTTAAAAATGTGGAAAGGACACATGCAGGGGGGAAATGTTTTTACTTGATGAAAATTCAAATGTTCAATTTTTAGAAACATCTTTTTCTATTGAAAGAGTTTTAATGATATACGATGGAGGATTAGACATTTTTACATGGGGTTTGAGTAGATAGGGGAAAGAGTTATACTTGTGTGTCTTCAAATCAGTATTTTCGCTGTAGTTAGGCAGTGACTTTCATTCCCATTCAGACAGCGACATACTGCAAATGCAGCATGTTGCTTCACACGGCACGGGTGAGACTGCTCTCGGATACACAAATCACACGATTAAGCGCCGGTACATTTAGAAATGTATTCTGCTCTTTGAGAAGAGGAAGAAAATTCTATTTTCAGGTTAAGAAGAGCATACTTCTTCTTTTTTTTTTTTTTTTTTTGCACATTCAGAGGTTTAGACTCTGTGCAAGGCCTTCAACCCTCATAACACCTCATCTATGCATCCATATACATAGGATTCTTTCAAGTGAAGAGAGATGTGCATACATTTCAGAGCATATCTCTCCTTTTCATGTTTATATACCAGGCAGCACAGCCAGAACTGAGTTAGTGAGGAAAAACAACAAAAAAAAGACCACATGTTGAATGTCTTTTTCAATGTGATCGTATATCTCTTCATTTTAGACGCGTGTTTTGTAGCCTTTAAGTAGAACTGTGTACTTTGGCAGAGAGCAGGGCTCATTTTGCCCTATCAGAGAACGAACTATAGCAGCGACCTCAGGCCAAATCCTCTCTTTTCGTGCTGTACAAACAGGCGTCCGGGCGATAAAGATCATGCACCATCAGCACAAAGTATTGTTGGAGGCCAGACAATAAAAGAAACCGTGCTCATCAATGAAAACAAGCATCCTTGACCTGGCTGTGAAAAAAATCTTTCTACTTGATTTCATGTGACCATAAGCAGGTCCTTACCCCACAAGAAAATAACAATACTCATGCAATGCTTTCAAATTTAAAGAGAAACAAACAACTAGGGGTGACTCCCGTTGTACATTACGCCCCATCCCATGTCTGATAATGTACATAATGTGCAGAGCAGCTGTTTTCAGTTATTTCATTGTCAAGAGGAATCACACACGTTATATAATTGTGATTACAGAATTGAGTTAATCCCACAAACTCCATGAAGACAAAATTCCCACGCTGTGGAATCATCCATTTATTTGAGTAAAGATGAATTTCTTTGCGAATACTTAGCAAGAATTTCAATACAAAGCACGTTGAGTCTATGCCTTAGGTTTCTCACAAATCTTCCTCTCACATTCTCTGGCTTTGTTTATTGAAACAGCTGCCACTGTATGATTTCCTGTGCCTTATCTGTATTTGTAAATTCTCAACTGTTGTACGATTGTAGCAAGTGCTTATATTGCTCTGGGACCTATGTGAATTTGATGTTTTATTTGATATTATTATTTTCTTGAGTTTTATTTTGTATGCGTCCCCTCAGCACGCTCATTAACCCCCAAACACCCACACCAGACATACAAACTGTCTCTATTATGCAGCGCAGATGGTTGAATAACACGTTTTTTAGAAGTATAAACCCGATAATTTTATGATGTTAAGGAGATATTAGGGCATAAAGTTGCATGTTTGCAGACATGAACACTGTCACTTACGCTCATACTTGTGCCTTTTTGTGCACAGACACACATACACTCGCCTCACAGTGTTGGTTTTGGTGGCATGATCAAATGGCTCGAGGGAAACTCAGAGAGAAGGCAGCTGTGACCCCTTTGTGACCCCCAGCCATCCCTTCGCCTCCCATAATCCAATGTTGTGGAATCTGAATAAAAAGGAGCCTTCCCTAAATCACTAAATTGTTGAACACATTTAAGCATTTAACAGTGTTATAGTTTAAGTATGATGCTGGTCCTTGTGTGCATTGATATGGCTGGTAATGTATGATTTTTTGTATTTTAAGACTGTTGCATTGCCTGTATGTTTGTAAGAAGACATGATTAATCTTTGGAAAGAACAAAAAAAACAACATTTTTACTAACTTGTAGTCTTCTTTGCTGATAGATGTGTGGCAGTATCTTCTTTTGGAATGTGAACCAATGCAATAAAAAGTCACACGTGGTCAAGAAGTGTTGTCTCAGTGTTTCTCTGCTAAGCACACGCACACACATATAGTAAAACTGTAGCTCTCAACTGTATTATTATTATTATTATTACTACAAGGTTAAAGTTCAAAAGTGAAATCATTAAGGTCCACAATGCTGTGTGTTTAGATAACTGACAGAAACGTCAAACTAATACAACATTAAAAGGGTTTGAACTGTGGCTAAACTTAGCTAAGAGTGGTAGGAATATATTTTCGACATTTGCATTTACATATAACTCTGTGGCATTTGATTCAACACAGACTTTTCTGACACACACACACACACACACACACACACACACACTCACACACACACACACACACACACAATCCATATTTGTCCACATCAGTATTTCAGGTGGCCAAAAGGTCTGTAGCGTTTGCTGCTATTTCCTCATCCTGATCCCTTTTCATGCAGAGTAACTATAGTATACTATACAATACTTCTTTCTTATGCTACTTTATAGATGTACCCAGATCTTTTAGTTATTACTTGCAATACCACATATTAGAAATACTCTGTTACAAGGAAAAGTAAAAAGCAATTACTCAAGTAAAAGTACAAGGAATTAGCGTCGATGTACTTGAAGTAACAAAAATAAAAGTACTCACTGAGCAAAACAGCCCATTTCAAAATAATGTAAATTATATTACAGGATAATAACAAGTGATGCATTGATCTGTAAGCATCACTAATGTTGCAGGTAAACGTGGGGCTAATTACTTTTTATACTTTTTAATAAATTGTGAATTTCACCCCAAGAATCAATAAAAACTATAAAAATGCATCATAATTTATTTGCTGATTACATTTTGAATAATATTCATGTGCAAAGTAATAAGTAACTAAAGCCGTCAGATAAATGTAGTGGAGTGGAAAATACAACAAGTATGAGAATAAGGTAGGAAATAGAAATACTCAAGTGAAGTACCTTTCTAATTGTAATTAAGTACAGTACTTGAGTAACTGTACCGACTTTAAATGTTGTTATTAACATCTTTTGCCATCATATTCACATCTATAGATTTACATTTGACCTAATCTGCATGTTTTTGGACTGTGGGAGTAAACTAATGTTAATACAGGGAGACCATGCAAACTCCACTGTGGAAGTATTACACTAATGCAATCTCTCAATCATTCAGTGCATAGGGTTTTACTTGTTTGACAACTGAGAAAATATAGAAAATAGGGTTTATTCAAATAGAGTTAGGATTGATTCTTGAGGACTGATGGAAGGTTGAGAGGATTATGAATAAATCACCACCATGGAGCAGTATTGTACAAGGTATTTTTATTCCGGGACCCATTCTTTCTCTCCTCTATCAAATGTTGGTTTGAACAAGGTTAAAAAGTGCAGATCTCAGGGACAAAATAGGAACTGAGCTTGTATTTATTTGCATGGCTGGATGAGTTTGTTATTATTTAAAATTTGGTCATGTGGAAAATATTATGTTTTCGTATGTTTCAAAGAACTCATTGCTTTGGGGCGCCATATCGTAATTGAAGGAGACTTTGTCCGACTGGGGCAGTGTGCTGTGTGATACAGTGGTCAGTGGTACTGGAGCTCCACATGGAACTGTTCTGTCTCCCTTCCTGATCACCCTGTGCACCACTGACTTCCAGTACAACTCAAGGTCATGCCATCTGCAGAAGTTCTCTGATGACTCTGCAGTGGCCGGGTGTATAAGGGAAGGATGGGACAGTAGTGGTTGACTTAGTGGAGTGGGCGGGTAGAAATTACCTGCTTCTGAACGTGGCCAAGACCAGAGAGATGGTGGTCGAGTTCAGGAGGAAGACGACGGCTCCACAACCGCTGAGAATTCTGGGAGAGGATGTGGACATGGTGGAGGAGTACAAGTTCCTGGGTGTCTCCATCAACAACAGACTGAACTGGAAGACCAACATCAACACTGTGTACAAGAAGGGGATGAGTCGACTCTTTTCAGTCTGTTGTGGCAAGTGCACTTTACTTCGCTGTAGTCTGCTGGGGGAGCAGCATTGGAGCCGGAGACACCAACAGACTTAACAAACTGGTTAAGAAGGCCAGCTCCATCATTGGCTGCAAACTGGACAATCTAGAAAAGGTGGTGGAGAGGAGGACACTGAAGGAACTATTATCCATATTGGATAACCCGGCCCACCCTCTCCACCACCTACTGCAGGGACAGCGGAGCACTTTCTCCAACAGACTCATCCAGCGCCGCTGTCACAAGGAGAGATACAGGAGATCATTCCTGCCCTCTGCAATAAGACTGTACAGTAAATCATCTCTGGCCAAATCAATCTCACAACTATAACACTGTTACTTTTGTTGTTTGTTTTGCTAAATCTTTGCACTACTGTTTAGTTAGTTAATTTAAGATTATTTTATTTCATTGTATATATTGTGCATTTTTATATTTAATATTTTTTACTCTGTTACTTTGATTGCTTTACATGTATCATAATGCTGCTGTAGTGAACAAATGTCCCCTTGCGGGATTAATAAAGTATCTATCTATCTATCTAACTTTCTTCTCAACTCCCATCTTCTTTCATCAGGACTTTTGCAGCTAGACAGAATTTAAAAAGTGAGGGACATATTTGTCAAAATTGGTCTAAACTACATTCCATGTGTGTCGGCAACAACTGATGTGCTAAAACGATTGCAGCACAGTATGCAAAACTGATCACTCATTGACACTTTCACTGCTGAACGGGATTTTGGAAATGAACCAGAATCTTAAACACGAAATACTGAAATCTGTTGTGACTGAGACGACCTTGGAGTTTTGGAAAACTGTGACAGTGGAAGTATATCATGATATCAAACTGACTGCATTAGCACTGCGTTCCAAATCACATATTTTTATTTTTAGTACATACTGCAGCTGCCCTTACAAAAGTATGTACTATCACAGGCAGTATGTATTTAGTTGGGACATCCTACTTTCCTCATAACATTGCACCTTGAACTTTGACCATCTTGCTCATATGTCCGTGGCACTGTGGGTTGAGAATAGCCAGAAAAGCATGGTGACTTACAGCAAAATACGACAGGATGCAGTGGGACATCCTGTCGTATTTTTGACATACTGCATTTGACATACTATATATTGGGGCTACTAAGTCTTTTTCTGGCATACTATACAGCAGGGGTCTTCAACATTTTTCAGGCCAAGGACCCCCAAACTGATAGAGAGATGGAGCAGGGACCCCCGACTATATATATTGTATAAAATTGTTTTATATTAAACTGGGCCTAGTGCCATGTATAAACATAACTTATTATGCATTCAATACTAAGCTATTAAAATAATACACAGGTTCATATATTCATGTTTTTATTTTAAACATGTGCAAGGTGCAGTGAGTAGGGTGGCCGTGCCACTGCCATTTAGAAACACACCTTGTCAGCTGATACCTGTCAATTGCATGATAATCATGCATACAAGCTATTCAAATTGATGTTTTAAACATCAATGTGGAAACTAAAAATGAGTGATGGCCTATTAGTGCCACTGCCATGCATAAACATACCTGTTATCTTGCATACAATACTGAACTATTAAAATAATGGACAGATTTTTAATGGTCTAATTTACCAAAACTTTTGTGGACCCCCTGCAGTACCTCCGCGGACCCCCTGTTGAAGACCTCTGCTATACAGTATATTAGTATGGGTATTGGAATACACAGTAAGACTATCGCCTGCCATCAGTGACTCATTAGAATGACAGGCTTCGAGTTTCTACAAGCCAGACAGTTGTGGGGAAACAAGGATTGCCAACAGGCCCACTGATTGCTGCAATCTACTTGTGGAATTGTGTGTGTCTGCTTTTGCATAATTGTGATGTGGCTCATGAGAGCAGTGCAGCTGTTAGGACTTGGTCTGACTAGTTGGCCACACTGAAGCTTAAGAAAAAAGTTCAGTTAAGAGACTGTACTTTGCTTGCTTAGGCCTGTAGCAAGTTTCTCAAACATATGAAGCTTAAGTTCAGTCAGGCAGACTCTACTTCTACATTCCTAGGCCTGTTTATTTCTCATATCTGTCATTCACTCCTCTCTCGCATGCTCACTCATATTTTCCTTGCTGTCATTGTTTGGGGCTGTCAATCAAGATATCAGCTGTTCTCTTCTATCCAGTAGCACAGCGACACAATTACATCGTCAGCCTATCATCTCGCTGCAGTCTCCTTTTAAGTATGTCTCTCTGTATTTAGTATGTTCATGTTGCTGTTACGCGCCCCTCCACCTCTCCATCTTTGCAAAGTCTTTGCAGCTTCATCAGCTTCATCAACTCATCATTCTATCAGCCTCATCCGCCACCACCACCAGTGCCTGGACTCCATGGGGGGATTTATCTTGCTGCTGCTGCTCAGGGCAGACGCCCCTCGATTGCAAATCTCCCTGTAGAGTGCAACAGTTTCTGCCAAAATGAAGATGTAAAGTCCATTTTACATTCAATTTCAGGATTATACTTTATTATATTTTGTGCATTTTCAAGCATGACAAATAACAAGAAAACATGCAATTTGATCCAAGGCCTCTCACACTCAGGAGGTCATATAGAGCAGTACATTACATGGTGAGCTACATTTCTGCTATATACTGTCTTCAACAAACATCTTGATGAAAAGCTCACAACATGCTCTGCAACCTCACAGACAAACAAAAGCGCAATACTCATATGGCCACAGACCCTCATCACAACATTCACATCCTGTATGGAAACCATTTCTTGAGTGAGTATGTCTGTGTGAGGGTGAGCTGGCCAGGTTTAATCTTCACACTTCACATACATGCTTCACTTCTCCAATATCATACGCAGAAATTAGCTTTTACTCCTTTTTGTTTGTTGCAGTAACATTAATAGAAAGCTGCGGTTTAGACTTAAGGAACTTACATCGAAACAGAACAGCAGATGCAGGTACTCACTACCGGTAAGTAAGTGTAGTTATTATATTTATCATAATGTATCTGGGTTTGGAAAGGATCTGATACTCTTTACGATTCTTATTAGCACTCTTATTCATGATTCAAGAATCACATGTTTGCATAGTTGATCTTGTGACATTTTTTGTGTTACTTTAATTTTGTTAGTCTGCGAGTTATGGTTATATCTGCCTATTTTGACTGAGACACTTGGATAGAAGACTTAATCTCAGTGAGATCTTTTCTGGTTAAACAAAATGTACATACATTTTTTTATATTAAAACATGATGTTTACAATGAAATGATCTTTGTGTCTAGGTGGGATGGAGGATTTTCGTAATTATTTGGGCATTTACTGGATGTTTTCTGTGATATGTTGCATGTTCTGGATTTTCTCACCAGCAGGTAAAATTAATTTACAACACCTTTACTCTGACAATGAATATGAGCTGATAGTTTGACAATTTGGGAAATACGTTTATTCTCTTTCTTGCCAAGAGTTAGATGAGAAGATTGAACGTGAAGCTTACATTTTTTTTAAATTAAACAATCAGGATGTAAGTTGTTAGTGAGTATAAGGAGAGCTTGGATTTTGTCACCTTCAGACAGAGTCAGACTAGCAGTTTACCACCGTTTCCTGTCTTCATACTAAGCTAAGCTAAGCAAAGCAGGTGCTGACTGTAGCTTCAAATTTAACAGACGTGTTACGAGAGTGGCATCAATCTTCTCATCCATATCTTGGCAAGAAAACAAAGAAAGATTTTCCCAAAACTATTGCTTTAACTGTAGTATTAAGTGTAATGGTGGCAACATGGTTATAGTGAAAATTGAATCTAAAATTGATGTTTCCAACACAGAAGGAAACACCATCACAGGGGTGGTTGGCAGTGAAGTGATCCTGCCCTGTAAGAACGAGTCAAACAGCACGCTCTATCAGCTGATATGGAAAAGGAACGGGACTATCCTGTTCGGCTTCCACCCAGAGAGACCCTTACATATCGGGGAAGAAGCTCTCCGCCTGAACATAAATATGTCGGAAAGCGAACTGTACCCACTGGTCATTAAGAGTGTCCAAAAGTCTCATACAGGAAACTACACCTGTGATTTCAACACGGAAAAAAGAACTCATGAGCGGAAGTGGGAGCTAATAATTGCAGGTGAGCTAATCAGTCCTTTAAATAAATTGGATGAAACATAAGTAATCCCTGTGGCAACAGCCAAGGAAATAGGAAGTAAAAAGGAACAGAGTGAATGTGGGGTTTAAAGACAACAGAGCCATCCGTTACTGTGCTACTGTTTCTATACCTGCATGAACACACACACACACAAAAGGTGGATAATCTACAGATTAAACATTAGCGCCTGCATTTAGAGATTTCACAAGACATGCATGCTCCACCTCAACTTCCTTTATGAAACACTGATCTCCCACATATAAAATCTATAGATGTCTTTGAGCTTAATTTAACTGCATGGTACACTCATGGTGAGTTTAATTCTGTTTTGTTTTTTTCAGACCCAGAGTTTAAGAAAGCTAGAAACATGCTAGTGATTGCTGTGGCATCTATTGTTCCTTGTGTGTGTTGCCTGATCTTTATAATAGCTTGGATCATTCTGCATAGAATCCGCAAACAACGTGCAGAGTGAGTTGCATCCAGTCATTGTTTAACATGTGATTCTATGCTCATAAAGACGTATGGCTAGTGGCATTATACTGCTTGAATATTTAAAAAAATGTCTCTCTTTCAGGGATCACTCTCCCACTACAGAAATGGTAAATATAATAATTATCAGCTTGTCATTTGAGATATTCACAGTAAATTAAATAGCCAACAAAGAGAAGGACAACTCCTATTACAATATGTTCTCCAGATATACTGAGATTAAATTTAGCTACAGTTATACTACAGTTATACTGTAAGCCAAAGTGTGCTATTTTTATTTTTGTTCTTTCCTTTTTTTTCTCAACAGCAAGAGAAAGAAGAAGATATTTATGAAAACTGTCTGGAAATTGAAGTTAGTCAACGACGTGGCTACAATCAGCATCACCGTTATAAACACAGGACTCGCTGATATCAAGTGCAGTACAACAATCTAAAAGGGAAGGGGACTACAAAAGGCAAGGGAGTATTGGAAGTGGGTACATGTATGAAACTGCTCATTTCATATCAACCATCTGTTCTGGAATACAAACAAATCTAAAAATAGGATTTTTCACATTCTCTGTCCAAGTTACTTTCACTCTCGATAATACATTTCTTCAAATTTGGCACAAATGTCCACTTGGACTCAAAGAGGAAGTAATTAGACTTGAGGGGTATAAGGTCACTGTAACTCTACAAAGAGTAAGACTATGGCCTGTCATCAGTGACTCATTGGAAAGACATGATTAGAGTTTTCACAACCAGACACAAGCCAGACTTATAAGGGGTTGTGGGTGAAAACCCCTGATAGCAATTATGTGCTCTCATGGAATTAGGCGTGTCTGCTCGTGTTGTGATGTGGCTCATGAGTGCAGCTGTTTGGACTCCTGCTTTAGATAAACCAGCCAAAACTGGTGCATTTCAGTAGTTATATGTTCTCAACTAATGATGGGTGACACAAAACACACTTGAGAGAAACTATGTGTTTTCATAGTCTAAATGAAAATGCAAACTGCCATTTGTCCTTTTCATTTCATATGAGCAGACCTCATGAAATCTCAAATTCAAATGCTCAGGTTGCATTTTCAAGGTGTACAGTTTCTGCCAAAATGAAGATGCAAAAAAAAAAAAAAAAAGATCCATTTTACATTCAATTTCAGGATTGTACTTGTATGGATTCTTTGTGCATTTTCAAAACAAAATATGATCCAAGGCCTCTCACACTCAGGAGGTCATATAGAGCAGTACAATACATGGAGCTACATGTCTGCAACATATTTGTCATGATCTTGGTTTTGGTTTAGTTTGTTTCCTGTTTTATTTTGAAGTTGCCTGCCTCTTGTGTCCTGTGTTTGTTTGACTTCCTGTCTTTGTGGTCTCCCTTTTTTTTCTGTGCAGCACCTGTGTTTGTCTTGTCTCCTCCAAGTTATGCTTTCTTGTTTTGTCATTTGTCAGTATTTCTTTATTTTGTGTTACTTACCTCTCCTCTCATTTCAGGTCACTTCACTTCCACCCTTTGTGCGTTTTCCCGCCACTGTGATTGTCTGCCCCTCGCGGTTTTGATGTCTCTGCCTGTTTATGGTGTAGATGGTCACAGATTATGGACTAAAAATAAACATATCCCACAAATTCCATTTAGTGTGCAACGTCCTTTGATTGCAGTGATGGCAATATGTATGTCATTATAAGACCTTTAGTTGAGTTTTTGATTATAGACCTACTGGTTTAGGATATAATCATAAGTGAAATGGAAAATTTTTGTGTTCAAAGTCAGTCATTAAAATTTGAAATGTAATCCCAGTAAAGGGTACACTGCTGTTGCAAGTCACTCATTCAGTCCATCGGTGAATACAAACAACGGAAACTGTTGACAAAATGATTGATAAGGATGCTACAAAGATGGAGAGAACTGGGGACCAGCTAAGCCTGAACAGCTCAAGAGGATTTCCAGCAGAGCTCAGATTCTTTGTGAATGTTTGTGAATAATGGTAGTTAAAAGGAAAGAGGCGGGCGGTGGTTTAGGTTCCGGAAAATCCCCACCCACCACTGAAGTGACTGGTCAAATCACAAATAGTCCAGTAGTTCCACATAGAAAACTGTATTGCTGAGTTTGGCTTGGCAGGGTGTACAGAAATAAATAGTTTCCGAAATAGGAAGAATAAACAAAAGAAAAAACATTAAACCCAATCATTGTAAGGAATGACATGGCATGCGCCTCTATGCTTATCAGGGCCACAAGGTGGAACCATGAGGCCACAATGGTGACATCTACCTACACTAAATCATCTCATTACAGGGAGTAGCTAACCATTAACAGCTATTAACCATCAATACATTTAGTGATATAACCCACAGGTAGGACACCAAGACTACAGACTGTGACTATAACAAATACTAACAGACTTAATATGATTTCAGCAACACATTAAGTTTACAAACGAGTAATGACCAAACAGAGGCACATTGAATGTAGTGATGGTAGATCAGGCTCTACACAGGTGGAAGCTAACACAGCAGACACACAATTGCTTGTTAAGTGAGCCTAATTAGCATGACCAGCAGTAACAGAAATTAAACTGAACAAGAATCCCTAAAACAGGGATGAATAATGTACATACACCATAGCAATATGTAACTTAATGTACTTACAGTTCAATGGACGCACGCAACAGTCGCACAAAGGCAGTGACACCTATTCAGGGATTAATTGGCCTAACTACTAGAACTCAGAAAAAACTCTTGTGGCCTTCATTAACTACTGGGGCGACGGAACATACCACTCTTAGAGGGAAGTTGGAATAGTCCAAGTGGTGTGGCCTTTATAACAGTAGTTAAGCTTCAAGGGGTACTCCAGTCATGTGGTATTGCACTCACAAGAAACAGATGATTTAAAAAAAAACAGGCAAAAAGCAGCTGAGGCAAAGATATCCTGACTCAGTGTCTCAAGTGTGGACCAAACTTC